TCTTACACAGTATAAAACATCTCTCTAACTTCCATATTATAGTTCTGTGCAAATACTGTGTGGCACTAATGCCCAGAAGCTAAGATTATAAAAACATTACCCTAGAAAAATCTGATGCTATATTTATCACAGAGAGTATATAGATGTCAATTTTAGTGGTTTTGGGTCTAAAAAGATTTTTAAAATTCTAGTTTTCACTGCTCTATTAGCATTATAATGCTACAAGAAAAAAAATCTGACAGCTACATTATGGATTTATGCAAATTACCACAAACTAAGGAAAATAGCAGACACATTTATATGAGAGGAAAATGTTCCTAAGCAGGTGCACTAGAATTCTTTCATGACTGTCAAAAAGCATACCCTGTGAACTCTTTCTTGAATTAATTTAGAATAATTTCCTACAAATATAGAAGTCTTCATTTAGACTATCAACCTACAGTGGCCTTCTAAATGCCAAGCAAACAGTCTTTATTATACACCCTATCTGATTATGTGTAAACAATTAACTGAAAAGAAATTCCTTTCACAGTGTTTCAAGGATTTTTAGTATTAAATATTTGCTAACATTTGAGTATTAATTGTTTTATTTTTCAATCCCTATTTGGCTATCTCACAGTCTGCATATTAAAAAAAAGTTAATATCTACTTCTAATTTATTGCCTTTCAACCTCAGAATGCTCCCTGTCCTCATGATACAATACAGAATAAATTAGACCTCATTGATTTCCATTATAATCATAACTATTGTGTGGCCTTCATCATTATGTCTGTCATGTACTTTCTTTTCTCTCTTAGGTAAATAATACCAATATTTCCAATTATTTTTTAATAACTCCTAAAAAAAGGTCAACCTTGTTCTTTTTACTGGAACTATTTTACTTCTCAACTTGTTTAATCAATTCTTTAAAAGTTAAAGTAAACAAACTTGACTGTTACATTCAAGATGAAAACATACTTTGATACAGAATTTTGATTGCGTTTTCCATTCTGATAGTGAGTTTGAGAGGGATTTATCACAGCCAGTTAGAAACTTGCTTACAAACTGCTTACATAAACACAAATATTTGAGATTGTGCTATATGTATTTTCATTTACCAAAAGATTTAAGCCCCAAAAGTATCTCATGGCATAAAAAAGAAACCTCAATTATAGAGTAAGTAGGAAAATAACTGGCTTAATTTATGGAGAAAATATCTAAATTTCACAATGAATTAATAAATTATATCTTACAATTATATCTTATATATGTAAGATATAATGAGTTATATCTTACATATGTAACATAACTGGAAACAGGTTATAATTTTATATGAAATATATTTAAATCAATATAATCATTATTTTAAAAACTCAACTCTACCATTTGTACTAATATAGAAGAAAGTGGTACCATGCCCATTCTTCTTCAATAGTGAGAAATGCTAAGTAAATTAAGTAATGAGACTAGATACAAGCAAACTAATTTGGACAAAAATGGGAGAGTTCTTTTTTCATTACTCTTAATTGGAACTAGCTTTATCTTTTCTTTTCAAAGATGACTTAATTTTGTAATAGCTACTGGTAAAGAATTTGAGTTATGTGAGTAAAATTTATAAAGAACAAAATGCAGATGGCTAATAAATATATTTTAAAATGCTCAACACCAATAGTATCAAAGATGTGAAATAAGGCAGTAATCAGAATTTAGTTTTCTCTTATCAGATTAATAAGTTATTGTAAATACTCCTTTCTTACACTGTCAAACATGTTGGTGAGTAAGTATGTACACTGGTAAAGACCTCTGGGAGGACAATATGAGCCACCAGTCTTCATCAAAACACTTTACAGTGTACAATCTCACTTCTGGGAATTTATCCCAAGAAAATAAATTTTAATATTTATTGCATTTTCATATAGAACAGTGAAACCATAGACCCATATTTAAAAATCCACCAATAAATGTATTAATTAAATGATAGTACACACATTAGAAAACCATGCAGCCATTAAATGTAAAATTTATTGATATTGAAAGATGTTCATACATTAAAAATTAGAGAGAAAGCAATCAACAACATAATATGAATCTGTCCAGAAAAGAACTAACATAGTAGGCCTAACAGCTATTCTTTGAAAGATCTATTTACAAATTCGACTCTTGGCTGTCATCTTAGATTTTGGGAGGGTTCCCACCATCATTAACAGATAAGAGTAGCTCATTGTGTTTAAACTATGCACAAAAATATAGTTCACACTGAACACCAGCTTTTCTTCTGGGAGTCTGGAATTTGGGTGTGTATTATTAGGCAGAGGATGCCTATGTGCTCAACCACAAATAAAACTCCTGGACACTGAGTCTTTTAGGAACTTTCCTGGCTGATGACACTTCGCATGCACTGTTACAACTCATTGCTCAGGGAATTAAGCTTGACCTACATCCAGTGTAACTCTGCTGGAAGAGTACCCTTGGAAGCTTGCACATGGTTTCCAGGGACTTTTCCCCATGTACCTTTACTCTTTGCTAATTTTGCTTTGAATCCCTTCAATGTAAGTAATCATAGTCTTGAGTATGACTAAATGCTTAGTTCTCCTCATGAGTGATTAAACCTGAAGGTGGTCTTGGTGAACCCTGATGTACACACACATGACCTATTTTTGAATATACAGATACATATTTATGAATAGAACAACCCAAAATAACATGTTAAAAGTATGAGTGGTGAATCATAAATAATTTTTCCTATTCTCAGTCATCGGGATTGCTATTTATCTACAATGAGTTTGTGTTACTTTTGTAATTTAAAAAAACAGCTATTTAAAAGATTTTTTTGTACTTTAAATTAAAATGAGAACCCTACAACAAATGTAATATTTATAATAGTGACCATATAATTTAAGTTAGTGAAATAAATGGTTAGTACTAAATACACAGGAATAAGGTGTGTACTTTCATTATTATGACAAACACCCAAAATATTATTAATTTTTTCATTGCTTCAAAACATTTTATTATTTGCTAAAATTATCCTACTATTATTTTTTCTGTTAACACCTTCACAAACAAAATTAATTAAATTCAGAGCAAAAACTAATCTATTTTTGTATTTGATGTTTTAAAACTTCACTAAACAGTTCTTTATTAAAAAGTGATTAATAGTCAAATAATGGAAACAACCAAATTGTCCCTTAAACATTGAATACTTAAACAAACTGTGGTACATCCAGACCATGGAATATTTCTCAACAATAAAAAGGAACAAACTATTGGTACATGCAACAGATGAAAACAAAACAAAACAAAAAATTCAATGTGTGGCTAGCATTTTTAACATTTTTGTAACCTTAGTTTCCTCGTAGCATTGATTTTCTTAACAACAGTAATTTATTTTTAGATCTGAAGTGTCATTGAAATGTTTACTGGTTATTTACTCATCTTCATGTACTTAAGGGGGATAATTTAGAGAAAATTTTTAGAAAAAAATGAACAAATGGGCACAAAATGAACAAATTTACACATATTGGCTAATTTGTTTCTAGTGAAAAGGAAATTGCAAAGGAAATTATTTGTATAAAATATATGAATAAAAAATTTAAAAGTATGCATCAAATTTATTTACAACAAGCTCTTAATTTACATGTGTATTAGTTTCCAAATCAAGTCACCTAACAAGAAGATGGAAGTTTTTTTTCTACTTAAAGTAAATAGATTGTAATGATTAGAGTCTAACATTATGTTCTTTGAACAAGAGTTCATAAAATTTAAATAAATCACTTACTATAGCTATTTATCTATATTATTTTTTGTATCAGAAATAGAGAACTTTAAAAACTTAAGCTAGAATTTAATTTAATTTGGCTCTGGGTGGAAATAGGAAAAGTTGCTAATGTGTATGTTCAATGATAAGGAAATAAAGTACAAATCTTAAAAATTAGTGAAACTAAATTTTATAAGTTGCCATTAACATAAAATTTGTTAAATGATTTATGGTACTTCACATGTCATAAATTAGAAACTTAGAAAACACAAAATTCCATATTAAGAATATATATTGCATAATTTTAAATATATATTATATATATAATATATATATATATTGCATAATTTTAAAAGATTACATAAAATCTGATCATATTTATCCTTTATCCAGAGGGTTGCATTCTCTTTCAAATATATATGAAATGAGCTACATTGCATTTCAAAGTACATTTTGCATGTTAAAATATATTCCTGTCTGGTGCATAGAAAGAAGGTTTTCATTATTACTATTATTTATTTGGAGTTGGTAGGATTTTTTTGTATTTAATGAGGAACATTGAAGGGAAACTACAAAGAATGTTTGTTTTCCTTCTATGTTTAAAACTGCCATTGAGGTTTTCCACCCCTTTTCACTTAATGGGAAATTTCTGGGCCACTCTATTGTTTAAGGTCTCTGGTGAAATCGTGCACTCTTCAATGTTTGACTGTTTATTTGGTTTGTCTGCCGCTGTGGGAACAATTTAGATTGTGTGAAGAATGTGCCCAAAATAATGAGAATGATTGACAGCTGAGTGAGATTAAAAATCCCATAAAAGTAAAAGGAACATGAAATATATTTTTTTATACCTTTAGGCTTTTTCTTCCTGTTTTTTAAAGCATTTTGAATTTTTATATAGTGAATTCTCATTTAGTCTTTAAATAGTTGGATCTCATTTTATATGAGCACACTACAAAATGCAAAGAGAACAAAAGCCAAATTTCTAAGAAATATTTATGCCTTCCTATCCTTGTTTTAATGGTAAAGTATTGGTGATGGTGATTTTTATTCTAAAACTAGCATATTAAATAGTTTTTATTCATTTCTTGAAAATAATCCTCACCATATATAAATTTCAAAAAGCAAATTTTATGTTTTCCATCTGATTTTGTTCTCTAACACCCCTTGTTTTTCTATTGGTATCCAAGAATTTCACAATCCTAGCTTTTAGAATTGTTATATTATGATGTCTAATGTTAAAGTAGAATCCAGAGTATTATGAATTCCACCCTCAACATCTCACCCTCTAAAAGACAAGAACAAATCAGCATGGCAGAAAAAAAAATTTCCAGACTTCATTTCAAAGATCGGACAACATGGGGTCTAGAGAAATGGAAAGAAAATTGCCCTTTATAAAATGAATAAATGGCTGTGAGTTTGGAACTCTGGTAGGGACCTGAACTCTACAAAGGTATAATTTTAAAAATTAACCATTGTTCCCTAGCTTACTTTACTATAATTGTTTGCTACATAGGAGTGACATAGCTAATAGTCATAAAGATTCTTAACTTTTTAATTGGTCCCATAGATAACATCACTCTTGTGACACCTAACAGTGGTCTTGGAGATATCTTCCAGACCCTGCCTTCCAGTGGTCAGGCTGACCCAACCAGATGAGTGGCTCACACCAAGGAACTGACTCAACTGGTCTTGTGATCCCCATCCAGGAACTGACTCAGTGCAAGAAGACAATTTCTACACCCCTGTGATTTCTCCTCAAACCCAACTAATTAGCACTACTGATTCCCTAATCCCTGCCTGCCAACTCATCCTTAAAATGCTAATCTCCAAATGTTCTGGGAGACAGATTTGAGAAACATCTCCCATTTCTTAACTTGGTGCCCTGTGATATTAAACTCTTTCTCCACTACAACTCCTGTTATCTCAGTGTATTGTCTTTTCTCTGCATAGCAGGCAATATAACCCAGTTGGGTGACAACAGAAGGATACCAGGACTTAAGTTTCCTTTTGTTTTTTTACTTCATAAAATTTTTAGCTTAACTAATAAAATATTTCTTTCTTCTGTTCTTCTGAGACCATGCTTCTTTTGGAAGTCTTATAGGAATAATAAGCAGCTAATTGAAAATAATATTTAGGTGTTAAGTTTCCTGAACCAATTTAAAAATCAGGCCAGGCACGGTGGCTCACTTCTGTAATCCTAGCACTCTGGGAGGCCAAGGTGGGTGGATGATTTGAGCTCAGGAGTTTGAGACCAGTCTGAGCAAGAGTGAGATCCCATCTCTACTAAAAATAGAAAGAAAATTAGCTGGACAATTAAAAATATATATATAGAAAAAATTAGACGGACATGGTGGCACATGCCTGTAGTCCCAGCTACTCGGGAGGCTGAGGCAGAAGGATTGCTTGAGCCCAGGAGTTTGAGGTTGCTGTGAGCTAGACTGATGCACAGCACTCTAGTCTAGGCAACAGAGTGGAACTCTGTATAAATATAATAATAATAATAAATCAGTCTCTCATCTCTCTTTTCACTGTTCTTTACCTCTTCATCAGTGATATCTGCTCTGTGTAAGAGCTACATGTCCTGAGCTGGTTGAAGTTTCCTGCTGACAGACTGTGTGGCTGTTAAACATACCCCTGCACTGCCAAGATGGCCTTTAATCTCTATTCCATCCTTTGGAAGGGACCAAAGTAGCACAGCCATGTCAAAAAATCTAAAAGCCAAGACAATTTCAAATACTGTATCTTTTTGATGTTGAGAGACAGAGTAAGTAATTGATTCTCTCCAGCTCACAGATTTGGAGAACTATTCTGACTCAATTTCAAGGAAAATTAATGCCAGACCTGCTAATTAATCTGTGCTAATTTTGAATTAAGTAATATAAAATTCTTAAGGACAGCACAACTTTTCTGAAGAATTTACAAGGCATTATCTGTCTATATTTCAATTCAAGTGTGCCACTCTTTCCATTTAAAATGACACCCTTGATCAAACTTTACTCAGGCTCCTCTGAATCCTCTTCTCAGTTAGACCTCGACCTTTGAACTTCCATGTTCATGTTTATATCAACCAGTTCTGGCAAGAATCCTGTCAAGTTGGTTTAGTCAGAACCCCACCCTCAAATCTGACCACCCTCAATATCTGATCAAATTTTTCACTCCTACTATCCTCCAGGAGATATCTAGTTATCCTGGTCTGTCTTCAGCAAGAATCCTGTTAGGCTAGTTTGCAAGAATCCGCCTTATTCCTGATGTCTCATACTAATTTTCTACCTTCTGACCTGACTCTGCTCCTTAGTTATAAATCTCCACTTGTTCATGGTGTATAAGGAATTGAGCAAGTTCTATACTGAGGTCTCTTTTTCCTTATTGAAATTGTTCCTAATAAAATGTTTTTTAACTGTTATATTTTAACTACAGTCTAGTTCTGGTTTTCTTTGGTGAAATTAAACTAAAGTGTCCATGTGAAACCAGTTTGTTTCTGTGCTGCTTTTTTAATAAACTGAGCTTTCTAAACATATGCCAAGACAACTATCTGAGTTTTTAAGTCAAATCAAGGCATCAAAATTTTATGTCTTCCAGAAATGGGAAAAGTATAAGGAAAAATCCCTGAATGAGTTGAGTTCTTTTATCTCAACAAAAGAAGTGACTAAAAGAGTTTGGCATAAGTGTGCGTATAATTAGAAAGTAAGAAGAACTTCCACTAAGGACTTGCATTGACAACATAAGCACATATGTTTTTGATTGAACTGACAAGTTAAGATTATTCTTTGGTTCTAATATATTAATTTAAAAAAATATAACTTGTGATTGCAAAAGATAAATATCAAGAAGATGAAATAAGAAAAAAAAAGTTACTCAAAAATTCCCTTTATTCATAAGCCAGAATTCTGGAAATCATTCTTGATTTTCCCTCTCTATCAGATGTCTAGTTAATTACTAACCCCTGAAAATTCTCTTAAATCTCACTTGAATTCCTGAACAGGTTTTTCAATTTTAGTTGAAGGTTTAGTTGAAGGTTCATAGAAATCAAAATCCTTTTTCCTGAAAGCCAGCCATAAAACTTAAAATTATTTTGTGTGAAAACTCGCCATAAAAAAAAAAAAATCTGACCTACCTCGTTTGACTGAAGGTCATAAGACCCCCATTCCAGCGAGGGCCCTGCCCCATACCCAAAAGGAATGAATACATCCTCAGTGAGGCCAATCTAGACAGACATACCTTTCTGGGTTTCCCAACTCAGTCTATTAGCATTAGCTTATACCCTTTTTGTCCAATTGTATTTCCATATGGTTATCTATACTCTATTAAACCAAAGCATAAAGATAGATAATTTCCCCTATATCTTTGGGTTGTCATTCTGAAGGCTCCCATGTATGTACATTAAATGAATTACTCTGGTCTAACCTATCATAATTTCTTACCTGTTTTACAGCATTGCACAAATAACCTCTCTCTGATTCCAAATTTCTCACCTTGCAGTTCACATCACACACCACAAATGGAGTAAGACTTTAAAAAACATGTGTGTATACACTTAAGATGTAGAAAGCTACAAAAATACTACTTCCCCAGTAACAGTGAGAAAAAGTTTGATAAACATAATAATTATAACCTATTGAGCCCATCAGAGAACTGAGATCATAAGAAAACTGAGTTGTCTGAACTTCAAGAAGGGACAGAAAAACCCTTGAAGGAGAAATGGGGCAATGAACAGAGCCAACATACGAGAGGCCAAGAAGAATTGAACAATTTGCTAAAGAGCAAATTTGGGTTAGCTTGTCAGTCCAGGATACCCTGCAGCCCCAGACACAAAGGGAGTTTATATACTTTTGCAAGATCTTCTCCTTGAGTTTTCACTAGGTGCTCATAAAATCATATAGAAACAGGGGAAAAGACCAGAGAGAGCCCACATTGGCAGTATAGGCTTGCAGGAGAAGATTAGCAAGCAAGCAAGATGTGACTGGTAGCAAGAGATACTACACACTTCCATAGACCCTTCTATGAAGCAAAACTTAAACTTCTGGGGGAGGAGCAGCAAACCCACTGTTCTCTTCTCCTAACTAAATTGATTTTCCAATCATGTTAAGCTTTTGATTACGTGTATTTCCCATGATTTCTCTTAATTTTAGGCTTCTGTATATGTCATTTTCTCTTCCTAGGAGATTTCTATCCATTTTTGGGTAATTTATTTACTAATACTTTAAATATATACTTCATTTTGATGCCACTTTCTAATAACAAGTCTTCATTGCCTGATTCCCCATTCCTGCCCCAAGATGTCATCATGCACCCTGGATACTTCGTCTATCATGCTACTTTATACACTTTTTGTAAAATTTATTCTTATTGACTGTTCATTCTAGACTATAAGCTTTCTGAGAACAGCAACAAACTCCATCTTGCACAAATTTGTATGCCTAGTGACTAACACAGAAAAATTATTGAACAAATACTGTTGATGAATAGAAAGGCAACATATGTTCTCTAAAACACTGTAGGAATATGCTTCAATGCAACATACTTTCCATTCTTGCTGAAACTTATGTCTAGCCATAATAATCTTATGTTCTATATCATTTCTACATCACTTTGCATTTTCCTAATATACACACTTTCTAATGAATGCATTCTGTAATACAAATAAACTCTATTTTCAAATAAATAGCCCAGCAATAAATCCTCTGAAGACTTTAATTGTGAACCTAAATATCATGAAAACATAAAGCTGATATTGACATGGGTATCTTTGTTTCTGCTGGGGCTCAGAAAATGGTACACCAAAATGAAGGCTTCAGAAGCAAAAGTTTTTCTCTGACCTTCTCCCATCCTTTTGTCTCATTCTTCCATGAGGCTAACCACAAAAACTGGAATCTCTCTTCCTCAAAAAGGTTCATAGAAATCAAAATCCTTTTTCCTGAAAGCCAGTCATAAAACTTAAAATTATTTTGTGTGGAAACTCGCCATAAAAAAACAATCTGACCTACCTTGTTTGACTGAAGGTCATAAGACCCCCATTCCAGCGAGGGCCCTGCCCCATACCCAAAAGGAATGAATACATCCTCAGTGAGGCCAATCTAGACAGACATACCTTTCTGGGTTTCCCAACTCGGTCTATTAGCATTAGCTTATACCCTTTTTGTCCAATTGTATTTCCATATGGTTATCTATACTCTATTAAACCAAAGCATAAAGATAGATAATTTCCCCTAATTCTTTGGGTTGTCATTCTGAAGGCTCCCATGTATATACATTAAATGAATTTATATACTGTTTCTTTTGTTAATCAATCTGCCTCATGTCAGTGATTTTTCAGTAAACTTTTAGGGATCCAAGAACCTTGGTCTCTATATTCCCCATGAAGACTTTCATTTGCTATGGTAGCTTACATTGGAAATACTAGCCAATGGGAGATGATGCAAATATGATTGTATCTGTCAGCAAAACCAGAAATTGCATAAGGAATACAAGGCGTTATTAATTGGGAAGAGAGATTACACTACCATCTTAAGGAACTGAAGTAGCCAATTTCATTTACCATTATAGTTTTAATAGTCTCAATTAACTTTATCTGTAAAATTGAATTGATTCTTTACAAAGAGTTTCTCAAAAAGCACATGAATAGCCCACCTTCACTGCTTTTTAAAGGCATACCACATTCTTGGGATGGGGTCTTGAGAGGGAAGGTATATTTTTATAGTCTTATTGTTAAACTTAACCCATTAAAAATTAAAAAGTTACATACATATTTGTTGTATTCCAATATTAAGTTTCTTATAATTCTATAAGAAAATAGTAGTGACAAAATTTCAGTACCTTTTCCTACATCTACTTGAGTGAATAAAAAGTATTTTCATCTTTAACTATACTATTTTAACACATTGATTGCCATGTGAGTTGTATTTAACTCAGGCT